AGGAACAGGAATCATTCCATATATATAACATACATCCAATCCCATATGTGTCTGCCAGGACCTCTAGCACAAGGTAATGATGAAATTTATCAACTATTGACAGGAAATGTACTAAACGCCTCAGAATTTCATTAAAAAAAACCCATGTCAATAGCAAAGGTTTGAAAAAAGACTTTTTCATCACATGGCAACAAGACAAGAAAACTATAAGGAAATGTCCTATTTGTTCTTTATATAACCTAACTCTACTACCTGCGGGAAGTAACTCAAAAGGGTACTCAAAGGAATGTAGTCTGGCAGGTGAATGTGTTCCATTTTGTAGAATTTGGAAAATTAAAATATGTACACCACACAATTGACACCTATTCAGGTTTTCAATGGGCAACTTCTTTCAGTTCAGAAAAGGCTGATTAGTAAGTACAAATTTGCTAGAAGTCATGGCCATCATGGGTATACCTGCACAAATAAAGACAGACAATGCTCCAGAATATGTCTTTAAGAAAATGAAACAGTTTTTTGCTTATTATAATATAAAGCATATTACAGGTATACCACAAAAACCTACAGGGCAGGCAGATATAGAAAGATCAAATGGAACTCTAAAGGAAATGCTAAATAAACAGAAAAGGATGATAAAGAACCCCAAAAATAGATTGCATGGTGCTTTATTAACTTTGGATTTCCTGAGTGTTAATGAGAAAGGAACAACAGCTGTGGAGAAACATTGGATAATAGACAAAACTACAGAATGAAACCAACTGGTATACTTCAAAGATGTGTTGACCTCAGAATGGAAACCAGGACATATGTTACATTGGTAAAGATTAGATTTGAACAAGACACCTCTTAATTAGAAGAGATAATACTTCATCAAGCAAGATAGCCATTTAATCTAAACTAACCTATAAAACTAACAAATATTTGGGGGGCAGAGGCAGTCAGATCTCTGTGAGGTCAAGGCCAACCTGGTCTACAGAGTGAGTTCCAGGACAGGCTCCAAAGCAATACAGAGAAACCCTGTCTCAAAAAAACAAAAAGAAAAGGAAGGAAGGAAAGAATGAAGGAAGGAAGGAAGGAAGGAAGGAAGGAAAGAAGAAAGAAAGAAAGAAAGAAAGAAAGAAAGGAAAGAAAGAAAGAAAGAAAGGAAAGCTAACAAATATTTTTCATTTGATCAGATATTAGTTGCCAAAGGAGAACCTCCCCAAAATTTAGGTTAGGGAAGGGTTTTATTTTTGTCTTTTCAGGAGAATAAAATTATTCAGCTAAGGAATCTGGAGAACCCTGGGCAAGTGAGACATCTCATGAAAAAGGAGAAATCATCTAGAAAAATTGTCCCAAGAAAAGGAGTAAAGTGGCCTATTGGCATATCATATTTCTAACAGGATAAAATTTCATAAATCTTCCAAAATATTTGTTTCTATTTTTCTCTACAGACATGTAATGTAAATGGTCTTTTTTGTAGTCTCAGTCAACTTAAAAAACATTAAAGCTGGCTTTAGGGTTGGAGTGTGGCTCTCTCCTTCTTTAAACCCAAGCATGCTTGTTAAAGAAAAATCAAAAATCTCTGTCTCATGTCAGAACCACCACCTGATATGGAACAGAAGAAAAAATATTTAAGGACTATTGTATTGCCACTAATCTCTTAATCCTTTGGTTTCATATTGACTTTTAACAGCTTTTCTTAAATCATAACTATTATATTTACATAAACATTTATGTGATGATATATATGTATTTTAAGGTTTTGTCATGGTGTTAGTGGTCATATGGAGTACTAACTAACTCTAGAAAGAAGATTTCATCTACCTTCCTGTACATGATTCCAGGTTTGAGTCTCTGTCACTTTTCTGTAATGAACCATGACCATGCCTAACAGTGATCTTTGAAGTCTTCAAAAGGAGGATGAGGCCCCACAATGACAATTTCACCAGGACTATGACAACACCACTAAGCTGAAAAACACCAACTAAAGATCTGCTTCAGACTACAAACTACTCTAGACAGGACATGAGACAAGCCCTGCATTTTCCCATTATGTTTAGACTGGACAAAAATGATACAGCTTGACAGTTAACCTAAAGTTTTCTTTTCAGGATCACCTAAAGATGCTGTTGCCTCCAGACAGCAGAAAGTAAGTTTAAGAACATGATGCCCACATTCCCAAGAGGTGGAGTGAGTGATTTTTGGTCACTCATTAGGTTATGGCTATTTGTCATTGTTTAGGGGAATTGGTTACAAAATTTTGTTGGTTACAGTCAGGAACAAAGTTGAAGAAAGGGGATTAGAATCAAGGTTTTTGTTTTGAAAAAAAAAGAAGGAATACAGATAGGATAAAAAGGATAGATTATTGAATTATTGAATCTACTCTTAAAAGAAAAAGAAAGGATATAGATATAAGGTAAAAAGATAAACTATTGAATCTACTTTTATAAAACAACTATTAGTTTTAAATATTTTACATTGGACTGAACTTTTATTTATTGTATACAAGTATTGTATATTGGTACAAATTTGAAATTAATTGTTTAAAAATGTACTGTACATATGTTTATAATCTTGTTATAGGTATCATACCTATGCAGCTCCTTTAGCAATGTAATACAAATTTCTAGTCCTTGGGAGTTTTTATTACCAATTACATAAGATAATAAGGAAATGTAGATGAGTATTTAGTCACCCATTATAATCAAACTTGTAGTCACATTAGGTATATTTTCAAGGTCAAAAGAGATATATTTTATAAAACAGGTCACCTTCAAATACTTCAGAGATCTACAGAATACGGTATTCAAGATGTTTTAATTATATAGGTTCTTTTTTATGACAATGAGACATGTGTGTTCCTGGCAGCACCAATCTACTTAAGAGAAGATGATGGGCATCAAAGCAACTCCACATGGAGTTTACTTTCTTTGTAGCAAAGGTAAGCCACTGGGCAAGAAAGTGCCCTTGCCTCAACTACTGACAATATGCTGTCCAAATTGAGCAAACAGGAGACCAAACAGAATGACTATAAGCCTTGCCAAGACAAGGTGGGACAGTCCTTCAGAATATCCTTCACAGAAATGTTTGTCATGTATGTCAGGCCTGTAGACTGAAGATGGATGTCCCAACATTGTAAAGGAGCCTTGGGTGACTGTCCAGGCAGCCAGATGTTTTTGTCATTTCTCACATTTTTTTGGAAGTCGCTTGTTTGTACATCTTGATTACTCAGTTAATATTATTTCCTTCTCAGGTCTCTGAGGGAGTTGAAGTTTAGATAGTTATAGTTTTCCTTGTTATCAGATTCAGAAAAGAAACTCACTAAGCAAATGTAAAGTGTTTCAGGTTGAGAGACAAAAAAAAAAGCTTTGAGTTGGTAATGCAAATCAGAATAGAAAGTAAATTAGGTACAAGACTTTGGACTCGCACTGTAGGATAGATAATGAAGTATTTTCATTGAATTTGTCAAATGCAAATGGACTAGACGTTGTTGATGTCATTATTGCTGCATATATTGTATATGCTTATTGTATGTAGTTTTTCTTATGTTAGTTGTAGCCTTCTTTTTGTATTAGACAAAAAAGGGAAACTATGGTGATACATTACTGATGATTTATTAAAGCTTGACCAAGGGTACAGAAAGCAAAGTCAGCCACACTAATTAGCTATATAAGCCAGGCAGTGGTGGTACACACCTTTAATCTTCCCACTGGGGAGCAGAGGTAGCAGATCTCTGTTAGTTCAAGGCCACACTGAGCTACATGAAAATTGATCCAGTCCTAAAGAGAAACATTTCACACAAAGATGATTTCAGCATTTGGGATCACACGCCTTTAATCCCAGCACTAGGGTGGTATAAAAAAGCAAAGGGTCTCATGTAGAAATTCATTTTCCATCCACATTGAGGAAAGGAAGGCATTGTTTCTCCAGTCACTCTGAGGACAGATTATAGTCTAAGGCTTGGTGAGAGCTCGTGGAGACAAGATCAGCCCTCTCAGCCTGAGGTAGAGTTAAGAACTACTGGCTTGGCTGCTTTGCTTCTCTGATCTTCGGCTTGAAGCTTGAACCCCAAATCTATCTCTGGGTCGTATATTATTCCTGTTTTATCCCTGTGACTCAAGCTGGCTAGTAAGAGTAGCCATGTCAGGGAGCTCTGGGTTTGGCCTGAGGGAACCTTTCTCAATGAGTAAGATAAAAGAACAATGGGAGATGACTCATGTTAGCACCTCAGACCTCTACAAGCACCCACAGGGAGTGTCTGCTCACTCCACAGAAGCACCCCCTCACAGGGCCCCACAGGAACGTGGGGAAAGAGAAGGAAATGAAGGATGTGTCTGCATACAGCTCAGCCACTTAATTATGTGGCTTTCCTTTTAAACAGCAGTCTTAATGTCATGCATGGATAGAAGGCTTTTAATCATCTTCATCTTCTCACTCTCTATTTTTGTGTCAATTTTTAATACTTGAGTAGTCCAGTCAAGTGCTGGTGGGTATGGAGCCATTTCCAGGAGCAAGGTGGACCTGTGGGGCCACACCCTTTAAAGGAAACTGACCTCTCTATCAACTGTTCCTAGCTCTTTGGTTGTGAGGTCTGCTTTACAAACATAATTAAGTCTGGTGCCCTGGGGCCTAATTAAGAAAAAACATGCAACAACTTCTAATGAGCTCTTTATATATGAAAGATATTTTATATCCTATACACATCAAGAAAATGACCTATTCCTTTAAAAAAATTATAAAACTTTCACCTGGAAATTCATAATAGAATAGAATTTTGTTCCAAGCAGAGGTCATATATAAAAAAAAACATATGATGACAAAACACTAAGTATGTAAGAAAAGCCATAAAGAAATCTGTTATTTTTTAAGTTAACTTAATTTTTTTTTTTAAGGAGGGTTTTTTTTTTTTTTTTTCTTTTAATTGTGTAGGACTTAGAAGAGTTCTTTCTGGGTGGTTAAGATTATGAGTTAGATGGAATTACAGATGTAGTTTCCATTCTATCCCTGGTTTTCTTTAGTTGTCTCTGAGACAGAAGGTTTACTGAAAGAACTGGAGCAGATGCTGCAGCAAGTACAGGAGCCCCCAGCAAGAGACGACAAAGCAGGGCAAGGGCAGGTTGGTATGAAGAGCTGCCATTTGCAGCATCAGGGGCTGCAGCTTAATTACATAAGGTACCTTTTCCCACATCTGAAATTTGAGCCATTGATTGTCATGATCCTAACAAACTAATAGCTGTCAAGCCATCATAGTGCATGCTTTCCTGGGAGACGTATGTGTTTGAGCAGAGAAGCTCTTTAATTTTAGGTCTTCAGGTTGGGTTGGTGGATGGGAGGCTTTCTGTGGCAGAGGTGGGCCATTGCAGAGAGACCTTATATTGGCCATGGTGACCAAATACCTGGCAGAAATGACTAAAAGAAGTCAGGTCATCATGGCAGTGAGGTCATAGTGGTGCAGGACACTTTATATCCTGGTGAGACAGAGGCAGAGGAAAGAGAATTCAGGAAGGAGCCAGGGAAAGGTAAGAGCCCTATGGGCATGCTCCCAGAGACCTGCTTCCTGCAGCCAGGCCCCACCTTCTGCCTGTTACTACCTCCCAATAGCACCTTTGGCTTCTGACCCTATTAGGTCAACTGTGTTACGAATCTGTCACTTGTTGGTTAGCTCAGAGCTCTCATGATCTGACTGTTCCTAGACATGTTCCTAGACTGACACACCTGTTTTCTGAATGTCATTAATTCTATGTAGATTTCTTAATACAGTTAAGTTGGCAGTTTAAAATTATCAGCAACAGACTTTGCCCATGCTTTTCGATCTTTCCAGGTATGATAAGTGGAGCACAATAGGATCAGGTCCCTGGAGAAGGGGAGCAGTTTGGTGGGACCCTTCCCTGTCTGGCCCATGTACTGAGACAAGGGCATCACATGGCTACTGTGAGGCCATGGCTCAGTGCTGATAGAGCAGGGCTAATGCTCCTGGGTTGTTTTTTGTTGTTGTTGTTGTTTTGTTTGTTTTTGTTTTGTTTTGTTTTGTTTGTTTTTCAAGACAGGGTTTATCTATGGCTTTGGAGGCTGTCCTGGAACTAGCTCTTGTAGACCAGGCTGGTCTCGAACTCAGAGATCCGCCTGCCCCCGCCTCCCAAGGGCTGGGATTAAAGCCGTGCGCCCAGCTAAACTCCTGTTTTTAACTCTTAGATTCAGAAAGCTGTATGTCCTCACTATTCAATATCTGCATAGATGTAAGAGTCTGTGATAGAAAGCTCAGGCCATTTACAAAGGGCAGCGTGGGGTCAATCAGACACTTTACCCTGTGATATGCTCATTCCCTAAGCATTTGGAACATAAATGGCAGCTTGAGGTTACAAAAGTTTTCATTAATTCATTCACATATGTAGTGTGCCCAGAGTCAGATGCACACCAACTGAATCTCCAATATAATCATATAAATTTTCATTGCTGTATTATTACTTATTAATAACATACATTTAATGGAATTCCTGGTTCTGCTACTGAGGACTTGTCTCACTTGGCAGTTATTCATCTGTTGTGAGAACTGTTTAAGAATTAGCTGAGACAAGCTGGGATACGTGTCAGAGGTGACAATGGGCAGTGGTAGTTCAAAGAGAAAATAAACTCTCTTGTTTCTCACTTAGAGCCTCTACAGCCCACCAGTAATAGCACTTCTCCTCTCTAAGAGCTGCGCGGGCAGGGAGTCTGCACATGTCGTCAGCCTGCCAGTTTCATTAGACCCTTAGAAAGAGTGAAGACATGCATCTGAGCTATTTTTCCATCTGTTACTGAGATAGGGTCTTCTTTGGTAGTGTAGGTTGTCTGTATAGTAGCAGCTGGCCTCAAACATTAATCCACCTGCCTCAGTGCTAACTCCCTATTGCTAAAGATGAATCTTTAACACCTTTATTACTGAGTTAAAAATTAAGGAAAGCACACAGAATTTATCATCCTAGAGATTAATATGTTAGAGGAAATGAATGTCAACTCCTGCTGAGTTGGAAAACACAGGAAGCTTTCTCAGTCAGCTCCAACAGCACAGCTCCACCTGGATCTGCAGGGTTGTGAATAGACTTAGAAATGCCATTTCTCTATTGCAGCTCTTTATAGATGACTTCTTCCCATACATGAACTGCACTAGTAGAAAAGATGTGTGGATTGGTGACATGTGTCTTACATATGTATAATTAAGTTATACATATGTAATGTATAATGTATAATTTCTAGCAATTATGTGCTTAGTTGAACACTGCATGGTGTTTTGTGGTTGGTTGGTTAGTTGGTTTCTTTCGTTCTCTCACATACTTTCTCTTTTCTTTCTCAGCCCTAATAGTTTGTCTTTTCAAAAACACAACCTGGCTGGTTTTTATAGTGGCATCCCAGACCATTTACAGCCACAGAATTTGCTTCTGGTTTGTCATTAGAATTAATAACTTGATGGAACAGAAATTGCTTTTGATTTTTTTCCTTATGATAAGATACATAGTTTTAATACAGCCCCAGGCAGGTCTCCTTTTTCTTTTAGACTTGTGTATTGTTCTGTGCTTTCAAAGGTCATTTAGGAACTGTGGAAGTTAACTTACTTAACTTATTGCTTTGTCAGTGCCTCCTACAGGCTGCTACAAGTAGCTCCTGACAGGCCCAGGATGCTTATGGCTTTT